GCCCAGATAGCATGAGATGATGAGTAAGATTTAAACAAGATAATACTTGTACAAAGGTTTTCTTCCTTTAGCATCTGTCTATATCCATAATTGCAGTGTGGAATTTTATTTCAGTTTCTTAAGTTTCACATGCATGTTTTGTTTTCTACAATGTTGATGAATCTAAAAAAAGATTAAAAACCCACCATAAATTAACATCAGTTAGATCTCTTGGAAGGTCAAATAAAAAGCGATTTTTGTCTTACTCAAGCTCTAGACATTTCAACCAGCATGAAAAGGGCATTCATTTAACATAATTTATCATTTTAAAAAAGGCACTGTTCTGTGCCTTACGACTCACCTCTGAAAAACAGTGGTGAATGGCAGCGAATCTCACACATTTTCTGCTCAAACAGAGCATTCATTTCCCTCTGCAGTGTGCCCATTGTCTGCTGCTGGTTGTCAGGGAAACGGGATGGCAGAGTACTCAGGTCAAGGCTGTCCAAACTACTTAGGCTGCTTGATTCACTCTCAACGAGGTTGTGACTATTAGGAACAGAGTTTTTTGTTGCAGAGTAACTGCACTGAGGGAGAGGGTACTGGTTGAGGAAGTCTTTCCTAATGTGATGGGGTGTGTTTGGTGGCAAGGGCGGATGGCGTCTTGGGACGCTTTGTGATCTGCGTCCTTTAAATGGTGAATCTTTGGAAGATGGTGTGTCTGGGTCATTCATGCGTCTGCTTAGCACAGGGGTTGCGGGGATTGACAATGGCTGCCACTGAGGGTTAAGCCTACCATCTAAAGAACGTCCAAATTTATTCCTGAGCACCATGTTTCTGGTGTTTAACGTTCCACTGGAAGGATCTAGTATACCATCAGGTATTGGATGAAAATGTAAGGGTTCACACTCATGTGTAAGTTGTTGAGGTTCATACATCTCAGGTTCCTGCTCTGAAGCCTCAATGACAGATTTAACACCTGAGATCTGCTTCGACAAGGGCTGATTATTCAGTCTAGAAGCAGGAACCTTCATCTTAGATATTGCTACATCTGCAGGCTCACACTCCGGTTTATTTCGTTTTGGAACAGTCAACTCTTTGGTATCCTCAAGGTGTGATTGAACCACAGTCTGAATGTCAAAATCTGAACTGTCTTTTGAATCAAATGCGAAGTTGGTGTAGTCCGTAGTCACTCCTGCTCCACCAGAGCATGTGATGGAGGACAGGTGGCGCCGTGCCTCATGAGATCCTTCTGGCTCCTGAAAACAGACCTTATGTGCCCTTCTCAGGGGTTCACTTTGAGCTCCTCTGAGCAAAGATGCAGACTGTGAGGTGCTCCTGCTGCCTTTCGAGCTCACGTCATCACTGTAACGTCTGTTTAGAAAGTCTTCTTTGGTGTAGCAGTCGGCTGAGCCCTTCACCACTTTTGCTTGGTTCTTTCCAGCACCTTTTCGCAGGAAGTTCGGACCAAAAGATGTCCTTGTGCCATCTTCAGAGGTCTGCATAAGGGTTTTCTGGATTAGCTGCTTTACTGCGTTGCCTGATTTGACCTGGTAATAAATATATCAGCAGATAATATTAAAAATATTAAAATGGTGATTAACAACAGTCAAAATTTCTAAACAATGACAAAAGATAGATTTATCGAATAAAACGAATAAAAAGTTACCTTTCCTGTGATGTCATTAATGGCAACATGGACAAAGATAGATGCTTCTTCCATACCTTCTAAATAGACATGTCGATAGCCTGTGGAACAAGGAAATAATAGAAGGCTGACTGACTAAATTATTGAAAAAATATGTAAATATATACATTATTCTCTGTCCAATAATGTCACAGAATGGTATGTAATTTACCTGGCATCATACTTTTAAATGCTATGGTTCTCTGTCCAATGAAGTCTCTTCCAATTGGATCATGGTCCCAAACCATAAAGCGTACTAAGGCAATCTGAGGCATGTGCAGCGTAAACACAAGTGTCTCCTCCCACATGGGGTTAAAACCTGTTAATGTGGCATTAAAACATGGGCAATGTGTTACATTTGGCTGCACTATACTAAAAAGATTTGTGAAATGAATGATTTTTCTGTATATTTTAATATATAATAATGTAATATAATAATATATTTTAAATATAATGTAAACCTTCTGTATTACACACACACACACACACATACATATGCAGTGGGTATAACCCCCCGAAATGCATATAGACAGTTTTGTTTTATCCAGCTGTATTTACTCAGTGCAACTTATAACATCCAAGTGACAGCTATAACACCAACACGTGGGAGTTGGAAAAAGGATCACCCCCTCCTAAAAATGACTTGTAAACTCAATCAGGTGTAGCTAATCACCTTCTCAATGGCACACAAAGACATTTGACTTTCATCTGTGATCAGCTGTGGTCATGTTGATTAGCTCAGCCTGAAAAGAGCTTTCCTGGAGCGTTTCAGTCCTTGTAGTGCAACTGAAGCAAACAATCATCTATGGGTGGCAAGGCACTGTCAAAAGATCTCCGGGATAAAGTTGTGGACAGGCACAAGTCAGGAGATGAATACAAAAAAAATGTCCAAGGCTTTATCAATGCCTAGAAGCACAGTGAAGTCTATTATTAAGAAGTGGAAGGTATTTGGTACAACACAG